TGACAGCTTAAAGAAAAGCGCTCACTTCAGTCAAAGGCAAAAGTGTCCTGTCGGTATCCTATATGTTGGTTATTTCCTTTTTTTTTTTACTTAATTAATTTTGTTTGTTTTTTTCTTACACAGAAATATTGGAGTCATACAGTCCACTTTTTTTGTTTTAAATTGCATAAAAAAAACATAATTTTTTAGCCTCATACCAACCTTATAGCAAGTTAAAGGCTGTCAATAAACAAACATATAAATTCCTAAAACATCTTATTGTTCGTTTTTTTACAAAAACATCCACAAGAACATAAATATATTTCAAATCCAAACAGCAGATTAGTATTCAATGTTTTCAGATGTGTAGAACGTTTAATAAATTATTGAATCATTTCATTCATTAATAAATAACAAACCTCTTATAGTTCATAATGGAACCTCAAGTTCCTCCATTATTTAAAGTCCCCATAATGGGAAAGTTAAATTCTTCAACATTAGATTATAACATTTAGATTATAACTGCATAGTTAATTTAACTACTTAAACTAACTTCATAGTTACTTTGACTAATGACTAGTAATTTTTTAAGCAAAGACACTGCTTGCCTTTTTTTAAAGTAACGTTCTCAACACTGGTAATAAATCCCCCTTGTCAGTTTATCTAGCAGATGCCACACTGTTGGTGTTACATCGAAGTGGTAAACAGCTCAGGAAGGAACCTTTTATTTATGTCTGCTGGCAATTTAATACAGTTAGTGTTAAAAGAAATATTTTTCATGTAAAAAAAAAAGAGGTAGGTTTTTGTTTGGGTGATATTCAGTACCGTCATTTTTTTGTTTGTTTTTTTTGTTTTTTGTCACATTCACATATTTTATAAATTTGTACCAAATGCTCCAGTTTCTGTTCATAATGAAAAGAACACTTTTTCTCAGAAGGCTTTGAAAAAAATGAGAACTCTGTGTGACCAAAGGCTTAAACAGAAACAAATAGTGATTAAGCATAGTTTCAGGGTTTGCGGAAAAAAACAAAAGGAGCAGAGTTTTCAATGGGATTCCTTGAATCAAAATTAGCTCTCATAATCTCTTTAAAGAACTTATGAAACAAAATGAGTAAATGTGAGCCCCATCAGAAAGCTTCATAGTAAAAGTGACAGAGGGAAGTGTTGCATTAAAAACAACACATGAACAAAATATCACAGTAAAAACCAGCAGAACCCTGAGTGCGAAATTCCTTAGTCAGTGTCTGCCTTTGACCATCAGCACATCATGTCCCCCCCCCCTACCATGTTCTGCACATGGGGGGAACACACAGGACTATTAAATGTGAACGCTTCCATCTTGGATGCCCTGCTTTTATAACTTCCCTTAGGCAATAAACCACCTAATGAGGTTGCATTGAATTGAATCAAGAACTGAAAACAGGGCTGACGTTGTTTTAATCTAAAACCACTCTTGTTCACTTAATCAAAGATGCATGCACGCAGCCATTCCCAAACAAGCACACAAACTAAGACAAGCGCTCTGATCCTGACCAAACACATGGAAGTCAAAAGTTCAAGATATCTGCTAAGTGAACATTAACTTCTACAGGCTTTTTTTTTTTAGGAGTCTCTGAAGGAGGCGACAGTCTGTGTACAAGCAGCATCGACGGGCCTCTTGTGCAAAGATATCAGCTGGGTGTTTTAGCTGGTGAAAGACTCTGGAGAAGAGTGCTTTATCTGATCTGGGCAGATTACAGGCACTGTCACAGGGGCCAGCCAAGAGGATTTGGAAACTAAGCTTCCTAGAACTGAGAAAACCAGACAAGCCTTTTTGACCAGGGAAGACTCTGGATTAGCACTTCCCTTGGAGACACTTGCATCTCATGACTTATAGGATCTAAGTCTTATGTCTGCATAGACAAACTGTTTAATCTCGAGGATTGCTCTTTTGATGGTGCCACAAAGGGCCACTACACAGTCTTGACGAAGCCAATCAATAGGCTGTTAAGTAAAGCTGATCTGTCTCTGAGGTCATTCCATATTTTTACTTTGTCTTTATCCACGTGACTGATGTTTTTATGAATGTTTTAAACTGACCCTATGATAGGGGGTATGAATAATCCTGGGCTTTACTGAACTCTAATCATTCTTTCCCCTGTCCGATTCAGTTTTTAATTAATTTCAATGAAGAACAGAACAAGGAGTTTGGCTCTGATTTGAAAAATATCAGCCATCTCTGAAAATAATAAACGATGTGAAAAGGTTTCAGGTTCATTGCAGTTTTCTTTAAAAGTTCCTCACAATCTCATTGCATATTTCATAAATGTTCATTTGACAATTTATTTGCTGATATTCATGTTTGTGAGGTAGGAATGTCCTTTTTTAAAGGATAGTTTTAATATGAATCTGCCAAGTATATGAATAATATTGGGCTGAACTGTATAGAAAGAAAAGCACTATGTCTTTACTTCCAAATAAGCAAATATATTATCCACATCCAAAACCATTTGGGGAGACTGGAGCACACAAACAACCCAGAGGTATCAGTTAACCTGGACTTAACCTTGATTAAACCCTGGGTATGGGTTAAAGTGCTGACCTATCACCTCGACAGTTTAATTCTAGCCATTGACCTGTTGCACCACTTATGTCATTTGGCTTACGTTTCTACCAGCCCACACATATAAGGCCTGGTCAAATGGGTAAACTCTTTAAGACTAAGAGTGACCAGTGTTCCAGAGTATAAAACATCCCACGTCATCCGGGTTTCATTTCATCTGTTTTTCACAGATGAACAAGAGCTTCTATATTTTCCTTTTATAGTCTACAAAAAATAGCACACATTTGGAGCTATAAAGACTTATTTCTGGAAAGCCTGAAAGCCTTTCTTTTATGCCCCATCCATAAGAGACACAGCCCAAAAATAAAAAAGAGGAAATAAAGATAAAAAAAATACACAATATTGCCTCTGATAGGCTGAACTTCTATTTCCATGTAACCAACTGATTGGTTTGACCAGACACGCTGATCTACAAACAGAATTTATGTTTCCTCAATTTAAACTGACAAAAGAAGGAAAAAAATGAGTGAAAGAACATAAAATAAAAATAAATACAAAAGATCTAATCAGGTAGGGCCACAGTATACTCTGTCCTGGTCACTTGGAATCCAGGCTGAAGGCTAATGATAAACTGTTTGCCATCTGGGCCTCTAGGATTTGGCAACACCTTCCCTTTAGGAGCTTAGGCTGGCAGAACCTCTCCAGTATATGAAGTGTAATCTGAAAGTGGAAACACAATAGGAGGAAACTTTCTAATCTTCTCTCATCATTGTATCGTGTCAGCCTAACATGAAAGTTTGTTTTTGGCATATTGTTGTTGCTTTAAACCTGTTGTTTTAGAAGGTGGTTTCTCTTTGGCGACTGAGTGTGATTGCTGTAGAAAGTTTTGAAAAACACAAGACAGCACTGGCACGAACCAAGGCTCAGTTTCATGGGAAAACCATAATAAGAAAACAGAAACAATTGAATTTAATTCAAGCATCCTGGTAATACTGATAACAATACTGATGAGGAAGTAATACATTTTTGGTACAGCACTAGTTATGGTCCAGTGAGCAGTGGGCACAATTTGTGAAACAGTGCCACACCCTGACAAGCTGATACATGACACCAAGGTGTGGACTTAGAATCTGTTTGGATAGTGGCACTATTAATTCCATAAAGATATAGAAACCCTTGCCTTTTTAATACCATAACCCATCGCATTTAATTATGTTATAACCAACAGGATTTTTAAATGGTTTTCTTTGCAAATAAACATCAGATAAACTCAGGAAATGCAGGTGTTCTGTGAATCCCTCAGAGATTTATTAGAGCACATCAATAAACAGATATCTGGAAAAAAGAACGGTATGTATATCAGTACGCAGATCAGTAATAAAAGCGTGGAAAGCTTTAAAACACTTTGAACACCTCATGGAGCCCAGTTCAAATCAAAAGAGCAAAGTACGACAGAGAAACTATCAAGAGATGCACTCTTATAACTAATGCAATGTATTTTAAATACATTTAATTTAAACACAAGCATCACATGTTGTGTTTCTTTCTAAAATCTATTTGTTGTTGTGCATATAAACTAAATTTCTTTCAGCAGGAAATCACAGGTAAAATTAGGCTTTATTCACCAAGCTATTAAAACATGCATGTAGTAGGTAAAGGATTTCAATAAAAAATAAAATGAAAATTAAGTTTGTATTCAAAAAGTTTAGCCACAAAGAAATTCTGCAGATGGGTAAATTAGTAGACAGGCGTGGTGTCAGCTGATTATTAGAGGGCTATCTGTTAAGAATGTCCAAGTTGTGTTTTAATTTGATACCAAACAGTGTCGTTTTGGACAGCAATCTTAGATGTAGATTTAGTTTTAGTCTTCAAGATTAAAACTTAGTTTTAGTTGCATTTTAGTCATTATGACATGTGATAGTTTTAGTTGTTTTTGGGCAAATAAAACTTAAAAAGGTTTTACTCTAGAAAACTCAAACCTATGACTAGTCATATTTTAGTCATCAAAGATCGAGGTTTAGCTCGTCAGTTTATCTTATTGCCATGTAAAACAAGGAGCGTCAACAAAATAATTGTGTCGTTGACAAAAACAATACTGATACAAAAGGTGCGAACAAAAGCAACCCTGTAAAAGTGAGCCACAAATGAAACACAGTTAATAAAGCTGCGCCTATCCAACATAAAAAATTTTATGTTCTGGTCACCCAAAGTTTGAATAAAAATGCACACCATACAGAGGACGGAAAGCCAACTATTTCTGGCACTGAGTCACTTTCTTTCCCTGTCAAAAGTATCTCCTTGCAACATTGTAAAGTCTCTTGTCGCTTGTAGAAAATTAAAAAATATTCAGTTTCACAGCTAACATACAAAAAAGTAAAAGATACAGTATTTACAACCTCTATAAACCTTTAGCACTTCAATAAAATAGAATAGTTTTTTTTTTCAAAATTTTTTTTAACAATGTGGGTGATATATTTACCTGTGTCAATGATGCCCGGATTGGAGTGAAACCAGGTAGGTAACACAAGTCCACTGAAGGTTGAGAAGCCAAGAATGAGGAGGTTGCGGGAAGAATTGAGGTCAACATACTAAAGAGAGAAAAAATGGAGGAACACAGAACTAGTTCAAATAGTTTTATCCACTCATGGTTCCAGGCTATTTTTTTTCTCTTTAAGCAGTTGATCACTATCTCTGTTTTAGAAATTGAAAAACAATTAAGCTAAAGCTAATAAGTAGAATAGACATTTACTGAACAAGACAGATTAAAAAAAGGAACATGCATTTTTATTCAGCTAAAGTCTAATATTTGTAGACTTAAATGGGGGTTAAGTCAAAAAAGAAGGCAAGGACCTTTTCGTCCTATTGCACACAACGGTCAATGTTTAACATTTACAGCAGCAAGTCGCGACAAACACATACAGCCTCGTTCACGCTTCCAAAATTATGGAGTTAATTTTATCCTGTTATTGTTACAAGCAAAGCCCTTGTTTTGTAAACAGAACTAAAAAAATAAAAAGCGTTCACTGCTGTGCACATTGAGCCATGCAAAAATTCTTCTAACATCCAGCAGACCAATTCCTCTCTCCACAGGAAAGCTAACCACCAGCAGTAAAAATAATGTGATCTGGAAAACAACATTTAAAAAGAATGCAACTTGTAAAATTAATAAAAAAAAAAACTATGAAAAAAATTAGGATAAGATAAAACAATAAAAAACATGGAACGTGAAAAAAAACCCCATAGAAAACAGCAGTCACTGTAAAAAAAATATATATATTTCTGGATATCAATTTGTTCAAATTTACATCTGCAAAATAGGTTCTGTTATGGAACCAAAGAAATTGAGCAAATTTCACTCAATACAACTGCCTCACCTTGGACTTTACATAATGTTCAATTTATTTTGGACCTTATTTTTTTTTAAACCTAAAACTCACCCTGTTGTTTCAGTTCAGTGCTAAAACTGATCACATCTGCGTTAGAACTCCATCAAGGTTTTGCAAAGACTTTGACTCAAGGGAGTTTGTTTTTGTTCAGTGAAATCAGAGCAGATGATATAGTATGCAGAAAAAAAAAGCAAAACAGTACAAAGTTTCATCTGTTTTACGAAGAATATCAATAATTTTTTTTGAAGGAAAATGACCACCCTGGGTGGAACTTAGAAGAGTAATGTGATGCTGAGTTTGTGTTTTGCAGGAGCAAAGAGATTTCAGCTTTAGGGGTGTTAGATCCTGCAAAAGCTTCAGCAGGCACCCTGCTGCTTGTTTTCCTTAACACTTGTTTAAAAACAGCAAGAAACTTGTAAGAAAGAGGCAAGGAGCAACAGCATTAGATAAACAAACCAAAGAAAAAGCTATTATTAGTTGTTATTGGTTATTTAAATACTGTAATATTTTCAGCTTCAACAAATCTTCCACATCTCACGCTAATTTCTCTACACTGAAGAAGGGTTGTTAATTAAGGTTGCTGATAAAATATGAGAACACAGTTAATACTTTGATATAAGACAGGAGGCCTTTCCGATAAAACAAATCTAGAACATTAGTGAAAAAGGGAAGAAAGAAAAGTTTTATTTTTTTTATTGCAATTAAAAATAACCATTAACGACTTTAAAACTCATGAGGAATATTTTTGCTAAATTACTATGAAAGACTTTTGGCAAATCAGCCTTGCCCATGTAAGATGATAAGGAGAGAGTCTCATAGTTTTCTTGAAAAGAAAAGATAAAAAGCCAACCTGATGTGTTTACCTGAAGGTTGGATATCCCCACAGCTGCAATCATGCCAAACATGACAAGAAACATGCCTCCGATAACAGGGTCAGGGATAGTGATAAAAACAGCTCCAAACTTCCCAAAGACGCCTAAAAAAATCATCAAAACTGCGGTTGTCTGGAGGACCAGTCGGCTACCAACCTAAACGAAACAAGAAATAAAAGTTAAGTGCAATTGATTATAGTTAGATATGTCTGGGAGAAGACTCAATCACAGGATCAAGAACAGTGGATCGCAACAAATCTATTTTTTGTGTTTGTTTTATTTATTGTTCAATTATCAGCTTTTAAGTATGATTTTTAAAATCTTGCAAAGAATATGTTGTAGTCTAACTCAGCAAACCCCTGGTTATAAATGGGCTTTGCTGACTTGAATCCCATCATTCATTTTCCTAAATCATCAGTTTTAACTCTTCTTATGGCTCAGTGCTGGGGAAAGAATAACATAATCTCTCTATTCTCCTATTCTACAGAATCTGTTAGTTCATCTCTAAAGTTCTGCTCTCTCTGCTTTTCCTCAGAGTAGCTTTGCCTCGTCTGTTCCTGTTTGGCTGTGACGCCATCCTGGAGAGAAACATCAGCTGTGCTGCTTCCATCATCACCCTTGTTTATAGATGCTGGAGATCAGCCTGTTTTCCAGTGTAGTCCTGTTTCTCTGACCGTGACTGGCTGGATGTGCTCTCTTCATCCTCTGACATGGGAGCTGGCTCGGAGCTCGTCGGCCTGGCTGTGTGTTTCCTGGACGGGGCCGCCTTTTAGAGCTGCTTTTTGTGTCTCTGCTTCTGTCTCCTTGAACCTGAGTAGGCCTCGGCAGATGGCCGCTCACACTGAGCCTGGTTCTGCTGGAGGTTTCTTCCTGTTAAAAGGGAGTTTTTCCTCTCCAATGTCGCTACAAGCATGCTTAGTGTGAGGGATTGTATTTGAGTCAATGAGTCAATGCAATCAACTGGTTTTCCTTAGATAGAAAACTTTGTATCAATGTGATTGTATGATCTGGTTGAACTGTAAAGTGCCTCGAGATGACATATGTTGTGAATTTGGCGCTATATAAATAAACTGAATTGAATTGAAATTGAAATAATGCAGCTCTGCCCCATTGTCAGCTTTCATACTCCCTGACAGCTGGTAGAAAAATGGCTTCTAGAGAATTCGCTGGATGATCATGAAAAGTATTTGACGATTTTGAAGTAATTACATCACAAAAAACAGACAATCTTGGTGAAAACTCATTCTATGACTCTAATTAAGGTCACCATGTCTTAAGACTACATTTTGTTTATTCTACGATGCATTTTTAAATTGAGTAAATCTTGTTCCATTAATTTCCAAACAAAGAAGAAGCTTTCTAATTTATAATTTGAAATGAAACATCAGAAAAAGGGTTTTTTGAGAATAACCGTTTCTCTCAGTTAATTTCAAATTATGATTTTTTTTCAGTTTTAGGCTCTTACTCCAACATCATTTTGTTTTTCAAATAATTTTATGTTTTCAAATTATTTTTTCCTATTTCTTTTATAACTTCTTATACTATACATATTTAATATTTTCAATGTTTCTTCCAACTTCTCCTTTTCAGATTGAGTATTATATACATTGTATTCTTTTCAAATTGCGTTTCACAGATCATATTTTCTTCACTTCAAGTCTGTTGGGATCCTCAGGCTTGCCCACCAGAGGGCGCCGAGGATCCTCTTCTGCTCTTTGCCATTTTTCCCTTAGGGTTGGCGTTACTGTGGGGATCTGGAGAATACCCACTGTCTCCAGCAGAGTGCGCCGTGGGTCTTCTGGAGCTGGAACCTTCCTGCACACCTGTTGCTAATCCTCTCATCAGAAGACCTCTCCTTTATAAGCTCCTGCCTGACCTTGCTTCCACGCCGCAGTGTTGATCTTAGTTGGTTAGCTTCTGAGTCTCTGTTTTGATTGAATCTCTAGTGTGAGATTCCGATTCTAATCTCTCCTTTGTCTGTGCCTCACAGGAAACCTGTCTCTGGTCTGAAGCTCAGGAGGAGCTGCCCCTCTGGAACCCTGTCTCTGGTCTGAAGCTCAGGAAGAGCTGCATCACAGGAAACCAGTCTCAAGCCAGAAGCTCTAGGAGAGCCTAACCTGCTAGTCTGCCCTGGTGAGCCAACCCGGAGATTCCTACGTGGATGTAACCTAAGACTCCTATGTGGAGTTTCCCTGGAGGTACCTACGTGGAATCAGCTTCAAGAGTCATATGTGGATTTTCCCCGTCGTTCCCTGCTAAGAGCTGGAAGCTCAGCCTGAAGAATCCTTCGTGTTATTTCTTCTGTTGTTCTCTGCTGTGAGATGGAAGCTAAGCTAGAAGAATCCTTTGTGCTAATCCCCTGTTGTTCTCTGCTGTGAGCTGGAAGCTCAAATCTAGTACTGCCTTGCTAAGCCTGAAGCTAGATGCTAGCCTCTCATGAACTCTGCTAGCCAACAGTCTCCAGTCCCAGTCAAGACTCCAGTGAACCAGCCCCTGATCCATTCCAGTCTCAGTACTTTAACCTTTTGTTTCAGAACTTTATTAAACATTTGAACTTTTTCCCTGCCTCCTCCGTGTGTGTTCTGCATCTTGGGCTTGCCTCCATAACCCATCATGACAAAGTCCAGTGCAAACGCTCACTTTTAACTTAAGTTGTTGCGAATGTCCAGCATACCAATACAAATGGGTCGTCGCCCCTTACTCCAGATAAACGCCCGCCCCAAGACATGAAGCTATTTGAAAATGTATACAGTAATCCCTATAACTCAATCTGAGAAACATAAATCAAAAAAATTTAAATATTAAATCTTTTAAGAAATCTGTGAAGTCATATTTATAAAAACTAAAATTTCAAAAAGTATAATATATGAAAAATTGATTTAAAAAAAATGAAACCAGTCTTAAACCCTATTTTTAATAAACATTTTGCAAAGTTTTATTTCTGGATTGCCTTTTTTCAAATTTTCATTACTTGTAACAATAATTAAACACTCTGTTGTATGATACAATTACTCTCAGTAAATGTTAGTGTTGCACCTATAACGATACCAGTGTCGGGCGGGGCCCCGATCCAGCACTAAAATGGTGATATCGGTATAGGCGAGTGCCAACAAATAGGGCATCGAAACCCTTTTGAGAGCCAAAAGTTTATTAAACTATTGCCACCCATTCCAGGTAGGCAATAAAAAGTTCTTCTGGATTCACTTTGTATTAGTCTTTTTCCGGCTTCACAAAGGTAGGCAGCAGCTTGACAAAGCCATGATGGCAATTATTTTACATCCAAGTAGTATGCAGTTCTTCATATATACACACACGTATCAATTTCAAAGAGATGGTATCGGTATTGGCCAGTACTGCACAGCCAGATATCGAGTATTATATTGGGGCCAAAAAATGGCATTGGCGCAACACTAGTAAATGTACCTTTAGTAGAATAGATTGCAAGACTGTCACAGCTGTATATGATTAACTTGTGACGGTAGACAGTTTCTGTTTCATATAAATTATACTTTCTCTCATCTCTAACATGTCTGAACAATGCAATGAATGTCTGACGTCACATAACCTTGCTGCTTAAATGACTCTGTAAAAGTCTTTCAGCTGTTTTAAAGGGGAATCCCTTCATGCTTTTTTTTTCTTATGGAATAATCCAGTTTCTTTTATGAGGAACTCAGTGAAGCCTCTCATTCTACAGTTTCAATTAGCAGTTAATTTTTATGGTGCCAAACATGGTTGTGATTCACTCGGCACATGTCCAAAAAACATCAATGCTGATGAAAAGGGGAAACGTTACTCCAAAACAGGTTTAACAAATCAAATGTTTTGTGCATTGTCAGAAATCCGCCAACGCCCTTCGTGAGAAGGTATTTCAATGAATAATTAGAGTAGGTTTACATTAGCTTGTTTACTATGGAAATTTAATAAAAGGGGAAAAAAAGAAATAAATATGTCTTTAGATAAATGAATGTATTATGAAATGAATATCTGTACCATTTAATAATGAATTGTAAAGTGAATTAAATACACATACCTTTAAATGTAACAATAAATAATTAATAAATGTATAACTTATTTTTTGTTTAATCCATCAATTAAGATTTTTATGTACTATTTAATTATGAACTGTAAGATAATTAAATATACCTTCTAAATTATGATATGAACTAATAGTAATTTCTGAAAATAAATCAATTTGCATATACAGTTGTTATGCGTTTTATATTCATTTGTTTACAGCAGGGGAGCTAGATATTTTTTGGTCTGTTGGATTTTAATTAAATGTGATGTGGGTGGATGTTTTATTGATAAAATAAAATGTATTAATCTTATAAACTCTTGTAGCCCTTTCTGTGTTGAGTTTAGTTTTTTGTGCTGCCTTACATTCAGATTCCCATTCATCCATAAAATTTGATGTTTCAAAGATTCTAGTATGTGGTTAGTGGTTAGAGCATTGCCCTTGTGCTCTGAGAAAGTTGCAAGTACCCGGTTTGAGCCCCACAGATTCCACTCTGGGTTCCAGAGCATAACACTTAACCCCACACTGCTGCCTGGGTGCCACTCAATGGCGGCCAACTGCTCCCCAAGGGGATGGGTCAAATGCAGAGAGGGAATTTCCCTATTGTAGGACAATTTAGGGATTTAATTTTTTTTTTTTACTGAAGAAAAAGAAATCAACAACAAAATGTATCACTTGTTTTTTTTTTTACAACTTCTTTCTTTTTATGAATCTTTCAAAATAGCATCCTTTGTCTCTGATTCTCACACCTGAGATGTATATGTATGTAGGTCCCCCACACTCTAAGAATGGATTGCTCTGAAAAACTACCAATAGTCAGTTAAACCAGTGTCGGTTGGATTAACCAACATTTTCTTCAAAAACGAAGCCATTGATTTCGGATCAAACAATTTAATTGGCTTACCAAACAACCAATACAAATGATAGCTGATGGTTTAATAATCTGACTGTTTGGCTGTAGTCAAGTGTAGTGTGTAATAAATATGAACCTAGAGAATAAATACAATCACGCTAGCAAGCTAATTCTGCTACATATTTCCAGCTGAATAAGGTCAGCGATTATTTACATTGGATAGCAATGGCTCTTAAAATGGATAAATTCTCATTTATTACTCAAAAACGCTATGATGGGGAGGACAAAAAGACAAAATGGCTTAATGTTACAACTAGAAAAATATTTCTGCACTTTGTTTAGTTCATAACGGTAGGGAACATTCGAGAAACCTGTAAAACTCCAACGTTTTTTTGTATTTACATAGCAGCACAGTTGGCTGGGAACTGAAACACAACACTACCATTTGGTGTACAGTAAGTGAAGGCAGATGTTCAACCAAGCCAGTGTCTAAAGGATTTCTGCTAGTACTCCCTTGGTAGTGGTTACAGAGGCTGGAGAGGTGGAGACTGCGGGTTGCAAGTGTACCCGACAAATCATGCAGCTACTGCATAGCGCGTGTCCATCTCCTTAAAGGAGAATTCCGGTTTTTAACACTTTTAGCCAATTTTCTGTAGTGTCCAGGATGAAATCGAATGATCGACACCAAAATTTTGACAATTGGTCCTGTCTCTGCTTTTTGGCTCATGCAGAATCCCCCCCTGGCTGCTTTAGAATGGCTTCCATTGTGCATGTCCGATAATGTCCTTAAAACAACCTTAAACGTTCTTTTTTTTAAATATGCTACTCACCGGGTCGTCAGCGCTGTTCAATGACGTTCCAAAAAAAGTTTCGTAAAGAAAAAACGTTCCTGTAGTGTTTTATTTAGCATTTTGTAAATCCCATTGAGTTCTGTTGGAATAGTCAATATTCCCCTGCCACCAGAAACGGAAATGGGGCCTGTTTACACAGTTGTAGTCTTTTCGCTTCACTCTGTGTACTCCGACGTCGAGAATCAAGAATCCACCTTTCGTATTCCATTTTCAGAGTTTTTTAAAGTGTTTAACAGAGACGTTAGCACCTCGACGACGCTGACGAGCTGGTGAGTAGCATATTTTAAAAAAAGAACGTTTAAGGTTGTTTTAAGGACATTATCGGACATGCACAATGGAAGCCATTCTAAAGCAGCCAGGGGGGGATTCTGCATGAGCCAAGAAGCAGAGACAGGACCAGTTGTCAAAATTTTGGTGTCGATCATTCGATTTCATCCTGGACACTACAGAAAATGGGCTAAAAGTGTTAAAAACCGGAATTCTCCTTTAAGTGATTTTAATATTAAAAACTTAAATCATTCTTGTACACAATGCACTGGAGTGGCAACCCAGGACTGGTCCCTGGGGGACACCACATGATAGAGGAGCAGAGGAGGAAGTAAGAGTCATTAAGGCTGACACAGAAAGTTCAATCAGCCAAATATGACCTGAATCACTCCAAAGCTATGCCGCTGATGCCCACCCACTGTTCCAAACCAGAGATCAAGACTTTGTGGATCACAGTGTCGAATGCAGCAGTTAAATATAAAAGCACAAGCATAACACAGTCACCAGGGTCTGTGGCTAAAATGATATCATTAAAAACTCTCAAAAGAGCTAAATAATATTTATAATTGAACTTTATTTATCTCACACTGGAGAAATTTACCTCTGCCATTAACCCATTCCCTTGGGGAGCAGTGGGCTGCAATTGTGCAGCACCCAGGGAGCAGTGTGGGGTAAAGGGTCTTGCTTAGGGACCCAGAGTGGAGGCTGTGGGGATCAGAATAGGTACTTGCAACCTTCTCAGAGCACAAGCGCACTGCTCTAACCACTAGGCCAACACTCCTCAAGAGATAAAATCTCTTCAGAAGAGATTTTATCAATGAAGAAGTGAAGACATTTTTTCACAAGCAGTGGGAGAAGCCTTTGTACCAACTGTCTGCTTTGAATTAAGAGCTGAGCCAATATTTGGAACTAAGCATGCAGTTTGTGACAGACAGAATAATATTAGACAGATATGCCCTTTTAGCATTTTCACAGTTGTTTGATAATGTCGCCAGCAGTCCCTGAATACTTGAAAAGAAACTTGTAGTTTTTCCTTTTTCCATTTTTGCTCAGCATTACAGCGTTCATGTCTGACAGCACGAGTTATGTTATTTAACTACTATGTTTACAGTAAGTATAGCTGCCAAACTAAATGATTTAGTTCAAACTAAAGAGATCTGAATTCAGATGCATGCTTTGATTTTTTTACTTAATTCCTGGTTTATTAAATAAAGTAAGAGCAAAACCCAAAACATCAACGTTTGTGTTTGTATACTGAAAATAGTTAAATTGGGCTAGCCAATAGTACCAATTGAAGCCAAATACCTTGGTAATTCCAAGTGCAGCAATGTTTTGGCTGAAGGAAGTTGTGCCATTTCCAGTACCCCAGATTGCAGCCAGGACACAGCCGATGCCCTCAACACCGATGCCGCGGTTGATGGCGTGAGTGGGTGGTGGAGGAGCACCAGACAAACGTGCACAAGCATAATAGTCACCAATGGATTCCATGGTAGATGCCAAGACGCCTGCCATCATTCCCAACACTGAGGACAAACTTACAGTGGGCATGCCCCACTGACCTGTGGACCGGAAACAAAATAGACATAATTAAACTTTCCAAAACCTTGTTTCAAAAGAAACTGATTGTTTTATTTTTTATTTTCGCTTCATTATATTAACATTTTATTAAAAATAGGATTGGTTCTTGCGTTACTGTTAGCACATTCAAATGACAATGTTTTAAAACAACTGGTGGATGATATATTCTTTGAAAGCAAACTTGTGTACAAAAAAAGAAGGGACTGAAACAGGTATTTGTAGCCTTCTTCAGAATGCCATTGTATTGACTCATCCAACTCAGTAAGTGGGATAAGTCAGAATTTGGAATAAGTTTTGAGGTTAAAACCTCTATGCTCAGAATTTCTGTTTTCATAAATCCCCTTAGCCCTTATCCCGGAACTGTCATGATGTGGGCACTGATGGTTGACCTAATTGCTCAGTCCATTAACCTGTCTAACTCTGTCCAGTGGTTCATTACTGCTCATTTAATCCACCTGCTGCTGCTTCAATTCATACGGCTCAGTTCCAGCCATCATGGTGAGATTATGCTGCTGATGTTCTTGTTCTAGTGCTCGTTCTCAGGGGCCAGTGGAGAGAGGGTGTTTTTAGTGTTCTGTATTGTTTCTGATTTCCCGATCGGCCTCTTATCCACTGAGCGTGCCCTGTTCCTGTCTTGGCTCAGTGGAGAGAGCATTTTTTTTTAGCGTTCTGTAGTGTTCCTGATATCCTGATGAACTGTTCTGCCTCTCAACCACTGAGCCTGCCTGTTCCCATCTGAATGTTCTACCTGAACTATCTGTGGACTCCTGGAACCACGAACCAGCCTGTCCCTGTTTCGATCGGTACCCCTGAATGGGCTCTGTACTCCTGGACCTCTGAAACTTCTTGTTCTGATCTGTTCTCCGGGGCTGCAGCATCTGGGACACTCTTGGCGGTGCCCGCTGCATCTCGTTGGCAGCCCACCAGCTGGATCCTACATCGTTTTCTGGAGATGGACTAAACTGTTGAACCAGGTTAGTGACTTAAATGGATAATCACCCTCCGTCAGATTATCATTGTCACTAATCTGTGTTTTTCTCCAACTAGAGTTTCCAGTGATGGGCGGCTCCCAGCCCTAACCGCTTATACCTTGGATTCACATCCCAGTTCTGTTGAATAAAGGCTTTGAATTATCGCACTGTCGTCTGTCTCGCTGTGAATACTGGGTGCCTCTGTCCTGCTCTATGACAGGAACAAATGAATCATACAAGTTATTCCATAAAAAAGCTGGACATTAGCAGGATTTCTAGAAGCTATCTGTGGCACATTTGAGCTGAGCTCAGAGTTTCTTTGTAGTGTACAGAGGGTAGCGAGGGGCAAATCGCTCAGTGGGCATGCTCAAACAAGGATTTTTCTTCTTCTTTTTCCTCTCAGATGAAAACACAAAAGCATGACGGGGATGCAAGTGAAATGGAGTTTTTTCCAGTAGCCACGTTTGCTCAGTCATGGCTTTCAGCATACAAAATTGCACAAATTGCCAAGGCAGTAGTGCGTTTTATTTTTTTTTTTGTGAGTTTCATATTCCTTCTCTACTCGTTTGGCTATTGATAGTCAAGTCTGATTAGCGCCATCTCACTGTGGAGCTGAGTCTGACATGGTTTTTAGACGTACAGTGTAAGCAGGTAGATCGCATCAGAGCGTCGGGTCTCACAGTGTGAGAACATGCATCTTGAGCTGTAAACTTTTAAACCCTGGGGTTCCCTGGTTAATATGGATGATGGCATATGAGTTGGTGGATGGATCTGCGTTTTCCTGTTAGGAGTAGTAACTTCCAAGCTTTTGAGCGAGAATTGCAACAAAAGACGCATTTTATAATGGAAATTAGAAAACAAGCATTCCAGACATAAAACCGTTAAAAGTTTTCAATTGAAAAAAGGTTTTTAGAGTAACTTTACTCTTAACCCACATTGTATTTTCAATTTTGCTTCAATTTTGCTTTTATGTTTTATATTTTCTCCTACACAGGTTTTCTATTGGTCTGCATGTAAAAACAAATGAATGATGAATGACATTTTTAAAAATCATTCTTAAAAAGAGAAATAAAAAATACATTTATATAATTACTAAATAAAAAAGTCTCAGAAAAAGTAATAAAAAAAGATTTTGATTAAACAGCAGTGTTACTCTTAAAACATTTTTTAATACATACATTTTTCAGAGATTTCAGGATTGCATTTTATTTTTATTTGTTTCACCAAATATATTTTTTGTTTTTGCTTACAACAATAATGGAGCAAACTTCAATTCATAGAGATAGATTACCTTTTTGCATGACTGCATCAAATCTAAAAACTGTCCATCTTAAAAATAGCATGAAGCTAAGGCGGAAATTCAACTGAAGAAACTCTGATTACTTCCATTCAATCTGAGGCTGATCCGCCTCCGATGCAGCCAATCCGCTTCAAGCTACATTTCCTCGATGCCAATCATCTTCCAGCACACAACTTAAAAGCCACTCCAAATCATCTCTAGGCCTGCTCTTCAACAAGCGCAAGATCCGTCGCTCCTATGTCGGACTTTGATTCAGACAAATCAACTTACCTCCAAATCCTCCGGCTCGAAGAAGTTCCCGTCTAGCCGCTCTCTCATCTCTGTCCTCCGCACTGCGCTCCAGGGGCATTTTGCCAGGCTCCGACTTAGTCTCAGCTCAACTTTCTCAGTTAGCCTCCCTTTTGCCTCATCAAGATTCATCTCCTTCCCCCCTCCATCCGCTCCTCCGTCTGCGCCGAATCCAGGTCGTAAGCGGTCATGTAAATCCTCCGCCGCCCCCCCCGCCAAACGCAGCAGAGGACGTCCCAGCTCTACCCCATCTCCAGCCGCCGTAGCGCCCGGTCACTCTCTTCGTTCCGACGCAAACCCAGGTCCTTCTTTAGATGTTCCCACCATGTTAGCTTCTCAATCCATAGCGGCTCCACCTTTCCACAATCCTCCCGCCGTTGACCAGTTTTTGCTTCACTATGCGAACTCTCTAAATCGCTCCGTTCTGACTCTGTCTGCACGTCTTCAAGCCTTGGGAATCCCCACACTGCCACATCTTCACTGCCTTCAGCTTCGCAGTCGGATCCCCTCCCTCCTCCTCCTACATTCACACGCCTACGCCTGCCCCGGGCCAGCTCTAGGTAAGATGTATCTAACCATGTTTCTATTATAATTTTCTTTTATACATTCTGCTCATTATGCTTTGTCCCCGCCCTTTCCGTCCTGGCAGTTCATATATTCCTATGTATTCTAACGTTTCTCCTCGCCTCTGTTCCAATATTATACAAGGGAAATATGTTAATTTAGTTTCACTCATCCTTCCCTCCTGTGAAGTTGAACATCAAGTCACCTCAGCAGGTGACATTACAGCTGTTTTCAAATCATCCGATCCCCGCTTATCCAAAGACCTCACCATTGGCCAATTTCTAGCAGCGTCCAGCATCTTCCGGGACATTCTTTGCTCAGTTTATCAGACTGCAGGGTCGACCTAGACAATTATCTTGCATTAATAGCAGATCTTCACATCAAATTCGGCAATAACCTCTTTTATTAATATCACAAATCATTTGCTACTAAAGCAGCTGCAACCTTGGCCCAATCCGGAGTTCATCTGGACTGGTCGGTCTCGGACACACATGTTTTAATCATGCTGACCCAGTCCATCCCCTGTTCTGCCTGTCATTCAACCTGTCACCTCAGCGTGTTTTGCCCATCTATACCCTTTAAGTCTAGCACTCAATCTATTCCTCCTCCGTTCTCTTCTACACTTGCCCAGCCCACAGACCGCCGAGGTAGAAACGTCCAGATATTAAATTCCAGACCCATCTGTAATAAGTTTAATGAAAGTACATGCACCTTTCCTTATTGCAGTTTCTCCACATTTGCAGCTTTGCTAGGACGCGCTTCCCAAGTCCGTCTGTCCCCGCCGTGCTCTGTTCATGAGAAATCGTACCTTCAACATTAATAGCCCGTCATCTTTCTACGCCCATCATTATTTCTGAATTGCCGTTTTGTCTTACCCATCATCCCGACCGCACTTTCGTCAACTTCATTCTTACCGGTCTGTTTTAAGGGTTTCATGTCGGAGTCTACAACCCCCCCCCCCTCCCTCACCCACGTCTTCCCTAATCTCCAATCCGCTTTAAAAGAACCAGACGTTGTAGATCAGCTGCTTCACAAGAAGTGTCCAAGAGTTTCATGATTGGTCCTTTCAAAACATTCTCCGTTTGCTCCCTTCCGTGTGAGCCCCCTAGTGGTAGCTACCCGCTATATTCCGGGAAAAAGAGGCTCATATTGGACTTATCTGCCCCTCATTCTGGCCGTCACTCCTCCATAAATAGCCTCTTCCCTCTTTCCTCCTTCTCTCTTCACTACGTTTCTGTAGACCACGCTATTTCTCTCATTAAGATAACTGGCCAAGGGGCCTGGCTGGCCAAAGCAGACATTTTCGATGCTTTCAAAATTGTTCCCATTCACCCTTCTCAATGGCACCTGTTTGGAGCTAAATGGAAGTCCCTGTTCTACTTTGCTGTCCGTCTCACCTTCGGCTGCAGGAGCAGTCCCTGTCTGTTTGACAAAATCTTAGAAGCTCCGTGTTGGATTCTCCTTAATGTTACTCTTTTGCCATGCGTTCTTCATCTCTGGATGATTTCCTACGCATAGATCCTCCCTCCATCAGCCCAGTTCATCACTCCTCAAACTAAAAGCTCTTTAACCAACTTGGTGTTCTCCTGTCCGAAGACAACCATCGGCCCTGTTACAAATTGTGTTTCTAGGCATAGCTCTCGATTCAGTGGCCATGATGGCATCCCTTCCCGCAGACAAGCTGTCTCGGATTCGTGAGCTTTCTCAGTCTCATAGCTCTGCATCAATTATTTCCAAACGTCAGTTGCTTTCTTTGCTTGGTCACCTTAATTTTGCTATGCACATCATTCCACAAGGTCGTTCCTTCATTTCCCGACTGCTTGACCTAGCTAACTCTGTTCCCTCTCTCTTAAATTAGGTTTCTCTGGACGAAGGTTGCCGTTCCAATCTTTCCTTCTGGGCTAGACTTCTTTGTAAATGGAACGGCAAATCATTTTCTATGATGTCATCATTCAAACGCTGACACACTCCAATTTTTCACGGATGCTGCCCCATCCGTAGGTTTTGGGGGGGTTCTTTCAGGACAGGTGTTTGCTGGTTCGTGGCCTCCCTCTTTTACTAGTTCTCAGTCATCTGCGCTATGCGAGGTTTACCCTATAGCCGTAGCTTGCCGTCTGTGGGGCCCGCTTTGGAGGAGAAAGCGCATATTCGCTTCTGCGTCAACATGGCAGTCGTTGACGCCATCTCTAAAGGTCGCTCCTCTCAATCTCTCATGCATTCATTAGAGGCATAACTTGGCAAGCAGTCTCTAACAACTTCATCATCTCTGCTCGACACGTTCCTGGTCTTTCTAACCATGCTGCTGTTGCTCTTTCTCGTTTTAAATTTCAGACCTTCCATCATCTTCGTCTTCTGCCGATCTCCTTCCGACCCCGTTCCTCCGCTAGAGGAACTCACTTACTCACTTACTTTCCTCTAGTTTCTACATAAATCAGGTTTAGCTTCACTTAAACTAATAGTCGTTTCGATCATTCTCGACTTTTGTCTCTTTCGGATCTTCGTTTCCACATCGATCATTACAAAATATCTTGAAACATTCTAAAGGGAAAGGCCCTTGTTCTTTTTCTATCGCACGTACAGATGGCCCCTTTTGCCCGTTTATCACCATGTTTAAATTTGTACAAAAGCCCAAAGTTTTTCCCTCATTTCAAAGCCCCTTTTGTCACGCCCGAGGGTTCTCCCGCGTCACCACACTGGTTCCAAGATCATCTCAGAATTCTATTAGAATCCTGTGGCTTTTCATCTAGTCCTTATTCCAGCCACTCATTTACAGTAGGATAGGGGCAGCCACAAAGCAGCTGCTCGTGGAGTCTCTGTGGCTTCTCTCCAGCAGTTGGGCCGAAAGACTTCTTCAGCCTATACGTCCTATATCCGCCCTGAATACTCTTCAATCTGAGCAGCTCAACGCTCTCTCTGTCTGTAAGGTAAGCTAACTTTGAATACTGGTTGTGGTTTAAAATATATTCTCATCTTTGCTAAATCATTGCTCCCTGCCACGCACCCTGCTATGCTCCCTGTGTGTTCCCTGCCATGTTCCCTGCCTCATTCCCCGCCTTGCATTCTGCCATGCTCCCTGCGTGTTCCCTGCCATGCTTCCCGCTATGCTCCCCGTGAGTCATGTTCCCTGCCATGCGCCCTGCCATGCTCCCCGTGTGATCCCTGCCACTTTACCTGCCTGCCATGCTCCCTGTGTGTTCCCTGCCATGCTCCCTGTGGTCCCCGGCCTTGTTCCCTGCTATGCTCCCTGTGGTCCCCTGCCTTGTTCCCTGCCATGCTCCCTGCTATGCTCCCTGTGGTCCCCGGCCTTGTTCCCTGCCATGCTCCCTGTGTGTTCCCCACCATGCTCCCTGCTATGCTCCCTGTGGTCCCTGGCCTTGTTCCCTGCCATGCTCCCTGCCATGCTTCCTGCCTGCTCCCTGTGTGTTCCCAGCCATGCTTCCTGCCTGCTCCCTGTGTGTTCCAAGCCATGCTTCCTGCCTGCTCCCTGTGTGTTCCCTGCCATGCTCCCTGTGGTCTCCTGCCTTGTTCCCTGCCTCGTTCCCTGCCATGCTCCCTGTGTGTTCCCTGCAATGCTCCCTGTGGTCCCCTGCCATGTCCCTGCCATAATTCCTGCCATGCTTCCTGCCCTGCCACCTACAATGTTCCCTTCTATGCTCCCTGCCATACTCCCTACCTTGCTCTGCATATTCCCTGCATGTCCCCTACATGCCCTGTCATGTTCCTCGCCACATCCCCTGTCGTTTCCTGCCTTGCTTCTGCTATGCTCCCCGCAATGTTTCCTATGCTTCCTGCTAAGCATTCTGCAAAGCTCCTTAATTTTCTCTCTACCATGCTCACTGCTATGATCCCTGTCATGATTATTCATTTATCACGTGTATCAGCCTGTGTATAATGAAGTCCTTCTGTACTCACCCTTCTCCCTCTGCTTTCTGCATATACTGGCGCTCAGGCCTGAACCTTGGCAATTTTGGGGGGGGAATATCCTTATTCTCATACATCAGTTTATCTGCATTAAAGTATAAATCAGCGTTTGTTTCCTGCCGAGGCCTGAGCGCCAAAGTTCAAACTGTTGTATCAATAAACTCTTCTAATTGCATCTTTCTCTCTCTGTGAGTTTTTCAGATTGAAATATTTTTACATGGTTAGATGTCTCACTGAAATACTCAACAGTGCTCAAAAAGCACTAGGAAGTTTGCCCTCTATCAAAGAAAATGCCCTTTTGAAACTCGTTTTTTATTTTATTATTATTATTAATATTATTAAGATTTTACTGAGGTCGGTTTTGAAATTATCTTTTGAAAACCTGAGCCATTAAAAACGACTGAAACAATGCCCCGAAATGACCGACCTACTTGCGCACAAACGACCAGCCTCTCTCTCTTCCTTTGTCACGTGAACTCGCTCGGTCGCCCGCAGGGCATGCCAGATGCGCTGCATCATAGCAGTTTTCAGATAGCAGGAACGGTCGCTGACAGGCTGCTTCTCCCGTGCCCCATTAGCCAGGTAATATACAGATCAAGCAGAATCATTTTGTTGTGCATTAAAATGTCTCATTCAGCAGCACCAAACACGCATTTTGCCGACTGGTCACCAGATAAACTAGTTGTCTCCTTGTAAGATGCTATTTTACTTTTTATATTTTGTATCCATATTTTTTATCTTAAGTGTATACATTAGTCTATTTTATTGCATGACGTATACCCACAGTTTTATATGTTTCATGTTGCACGATTGTACCATAAAAAAATCCTAGTTTGTGAACTCCTTCACTAACAATGGCAATAAACCTGATTCTGATTCTGAAAGTTTTACACTGTAGCCCAAGTCAATGACAGATAACGTGAGGACGACCACATAGGCTACAAATAATTTTTGGTAGAGTTTGCAATTGCAAATCTACGGAAGAGGATTAGGGCCACTGAAAAAAAAAAAATAAGTTAACTGATTTTTAAATTTTATTTCAGTTTAGTATGGGAAAAAAGTCAGAATGCTGACTTTAATCTCATAATTCTAACTTTTTTCTCATAATTCTGACTTTTTGCTGAGAATTCTGACTTTTTGCTCAGTATTCTGACTTTAATCTCAGAATTCTGACAATAAAAAAGTCAGAATTCTGACTTTTTCCCATGTTAAACTGAAATAAAATTTAAAAATCAGTTAACTTTTTTTTTTTTTCAGTGGCCCTAATCCTCTTCTGTACAAATCTATGTGTTAAGACAAACGTTTTCTGTTGTATAGGTTTTGTTAGGCAACATAAATTAACACATTTTGGTCTCTTTATTGTCTTAATTGTATATTGATTTAGTAATTGCAGCACAATGCCAAGAAAGGAGGGTTAATCATATTGAAAAATCTTAAAGCTGTTCACATTTTATTTTTAAGTGGTTTGTGTTGCAGGTATTAAAATAGCTATTATTTTGTAGGCTACCATAAGTCATATCGACGTGACAAGACTTCCAGTCATGTTGCCCTAATAGCCCATTATTTAAACTAATGTGACATATTTGTTAAAGCTATTATTATTATTATTATTATTATTATTATTATTATCATTATTATTATTATTGTCATGATGGTTATTATTAATATATTGTAGCCAGTCACAGCAGGGAAGCTCTATACCATCAACATATAACTGGACAGGAGATGAGGAAGAGTTCAGGGAAGACACAGAGACAGAAAAAGACCAGGATGAGGGAGAACAGCAGGGTGAGGGAAAACAGGGAGATGAGCCAGATGAAAGAAGTATGCTTTAGTCTGTTCTGTTGGTGATGTGACTTTTTTCCACTCACGTTTAGAGAATGTTACAAATAAAAGTCAAATTTCATTCAACATGCGTTTATTTTTTTTTATAATTAAGTGTTACACGTGCGCTAAAAAGTGCCCCCCCCCCTCCTGAGCACCTGCCCCCCAAAATGTCTGTGCACGCCTCTGTGTAGTGTTACTAATAGAAAACATATCTCTTAGGTTTATACTTGAAATCTTCAACTTACATTTACAGGATTTGAAACAGCTGTTGGATTCCGTTCATCTGACTAGTCATAGCCAGGGCTTACTCACTAAAGAGGGTATTATAGGTAAAAATAATGATTTCCACTTAAATTAGTGGGTTTTACATCCAGTCATTTAGCAAAAACTATGTACACCCTTGATTCATTTTACAGGATTTAGGGGAAAAAAAGGGTTTGCTGATTAAAAGCTCTTAATTTTTTTAAAGAATCAGCTTGTGTCATCACTTTCATACAAGTAGAGACTTTGACAGTTTGATGGTTTGGTTTAAGGGATGTTAACACATTTACAAAACTTAATCAATATACTTTGATAGGTAATGGTTTCACCTTATTCATTGAGGAATTAAAGACATCTACAATAATTATAAAGTGAATAGTTTTACAATAAAAACCAAAAAAATAAAATAAACTGTTTTTTTTGTGCTTATTTTGCTAAAACTCATTTAATTTTTACCCATGCAGTGCCTTAAATTTCAAAAGATTCCCCTGATAAATCCAGTCTGCATTTTCTCATGTTCATGGAAAGAAGGTTAATTTGAAGTAAAATTAGATTTGACATCCAAATGTTGGTCGCCAATGTATGAGTTTCCTGATCTTTAAGTAGGCTGCCAACAGTAAGTTGGCTCAAAGGCAAGATATCCCATGAAAGCATCATTACACACAGCATTATTATCAGGCCCTTACCTGGATAAGGCATATGGAACCACGGCGAGTTGGTCACAGCATTAAGATTGATGTCGGTTCTTGCTGAGAAGCCATACTCAGTAGAGTTTAAGGGCAGGACATCAAAGGCGGTTAGTAAAAAGCAGACCAGCCAGGCACCACACATTCCAAACAAAGCCTGAAATCAGGAAAACGGACAACGTTTCCAGTCATTTATTTTTTTGAATAAAAGCTAATAAATAACTGTTTACAACCATGTCCTCTAAAAAGATGGAAAAAGAAAGAAGTAAGTATATATATATATTTTAAAAAGATTTTCCATTAATAGAGCACAACTGGTTTTGATTGGGAGTGCAGCCTAATAGGGCAAACACTTTTACATTCTTAACTGTTAATGTAGTGTGTTCAAAATGCAGAAGAATTTGAAACTAATTCTGTTTCCACTGCCGATTATGTCCAAGCTATAAAAAGATTCTCTTCATATACATGTGTATCGGGTGTATCATTTTACTAAAGTATATTGATACACCAAAGAAAAGAGCAGGATCTTATTTTATATAGGAACATTTTAATATATTACGAATTAGACTGTTCACACATATATATATATATATATATATATATATATATATATATATATATATATATATATATATATATATATATATATATATATATATATATATATATATATATACACCAGTATATAAAAAAACCTTTGTCATGAGAGAAGAAAAATAGAGTGAATAATAATATCTGTTAAACTATCAGGCAACTCACAGAGAAGAGCTTGAAGAGTGGATATTGGAAAACCTTCCATTTCCTATCCTTGTATGCAAACATTGGAACATTAACCTTGCTGAGATATTGGGAGAACAGGAGGATCAGTCCAACTGTCCTGCAAGACAGAGAACAGGAGAAAATATTTAAATAGTGCCTGCTGATATGTCTTAATACCGAATACTAACAATAACAAATCCAGTGCAATGTGTTTATTAGATGCTTTCACATAGAAATATCATTGTTGAAGTTGAAACAACTTCATTACAGTGGATTTTTAGTGTATTCCTGTCACGCCCCAAAATTTATATACAGACCAGCCCACTGGTTCACTGGCCCAAGAACATGAATAGAGGTTGCAGAGATGTAAGACACTAGTTTAGCTGTTTAGCCTACATTTGGGTTTACTTCTACAAGAATTACAAAGTATAAAGTGTCGACTGCTGGGCCGCTGACTGGACTGGACCTCAACAGAGAGCCATGAGCCGCCCGTCCTCAGCCAGAGGAGAGGGGCTGGGTGCCAGTAAGGAAGGTGGGGGGAAGCACGGGGCTGCCGGTGTCCAGACTACTGTCACCTGGTTGGGTTTGGACCATCCCCTGATGTCTCCCTGCCCCCGTCCGCTGGGGTTCGCAGACCTGTCCCAGAGCTTACGGCACGGTTCGAGTCCCTGGTGTGTTTCGACTAAATGCTGCACTTTTGTCGACCAAAATCACTGTTGACTTTGAAATTCCACCCGGACATTTTTTTAGGTATGAAAAGTAGATATCCGGGAAAAGGAGGATGTCTGGTCACCCTACTCTATAATTTCGATATTTCAGTGAGTGCTTGTTGCTATTGATCAGCAGCTTCGCTCGTTGTACACCAACCAATCAGTGCATTAATAATTAATATTGGACTCATGCAATATTGGTACAGTACACTTTAAAAACAATGGTATTGTAAAAGGTTAGGTACTAAATAAACATCATTCTTCATTTACAGGTTCTCTGAATTCAGCAAAGCAAAAAAACTGGCAAGAGGAGATGGACAGAGCAGCATTGAGTCCTTTCCGACAAAAGGAGTGCAAGTGTACAGCCAGGGACATCCCAGACATAAGGCTATTACTGAAACATCTTCTTTCCCACAGCTGTCACACTCCTGAACGCCTCCTGACACAACTATACGGACTGTATCCCCCATACAATAATAACATATGGACTGTCCTCACACTCACACACATTCCATGGACTGTTCCCCTCACGCACATACACAATCTGTATATAATCTGTAAATCTGATCTGCCATTATTTATCTTGTAGTATAAATCCGCTAATACATATATAATCCTTTTCCTAACATTCCTATATATTCTGTATCATCTGTGCATGTAGCTCCCATATTCATATGTATATTATATTTATATTTATACACAACTTTTTACAGTCCCTAACTATTACTTTTTGCTTGTACATACACCTGGAATAATATTTATATCCTGTATAGCACTTCTAGATAGATGCAAACCACATTTTGTTGCTTTGTACTCGTGACAGTGCAATGAAAATAAAGTTGAATTCTATTCTATTCTGTTCTATAATAGTACAGGACTTTATTATTTCATGCAACCTCCTACTATCTTTGATCGACAAACCCAGCTTTAAAAACTTTATATCAGTGGTCAAGGAGAGATGCTGCCTGCCAAGTTGCAGCACAGTAACCAAACGTCTAAGTGAGCTCTCTGCAGAAAGTATCAAAGATTAAATCCAAGTTAATCTTGGACAAGTTATTTGTTTCAGTGATTGCGATAGAAACACAAATGGAGATAAGCAAGCATGCCTTATGTAAATTGTTGCAATTATTTTAATTAAACATGTAATCAGAACTCATTGTGCGATTAATTGAATATTTCAACAGGCATACTCAAGACTAGATTTGGACTTGAGCTTTCAAGACTTCAGGCTTGACTTGGACTTGCAAACAATGACTTGTGTACATGTCTTGCTCAAATCCTGCAGAGCTGAAAGAAAGAGCCCACGAAACCCCATTTTTCAGTAGAAAGTCATACTGCTGAGAGCCAACAAGCTACAAGCTATCGGAGCTTGAATAAGAAAAGGAGCAAAATTATGTTCGTGCACATACAGACATTTTTAGGATGCTCTGGGTTGATCTAATCATCGCAGCCACATACAGTACAGTGGTGTGAAAAGGTGTTTATCCCTTTTCCTGGTTTCATATTTTTTGCATGCTTGTCCCAACTAATTGTTTAAGAGCATTGTTAAATTTGAATATTTTTTAAAGACAACTCAAACACAAAATCCCATGCAAGTTTAGGTATTTTATTTTTTGTGCAAGCAAAATTCAAACTGAATTGGCCCTGTGTGAAAGAAAAATGATCGCTCCACCTTTTAAAATATTACAATATTTTTAAATATTATCCCACCACTGCCAGGCCCGATTACTGCCACAACCATACAGCATCAACACAACACTTAAGTAGGACCTACCTGACAAAATGAAGTATGCAAAAAGATTGTCAAAAGCTAGATATCATCAACTCATATAAGGCGAGAACCTTGCTATTTATTACTACCTATGGACCTTAGCAAAAACATAAATGGGATGCCATGCAGATGATATCTGGCATCTAAACGGGAACTTTAGAAGTCAGCAACTTGATCTTTTAGATATTTATAAAGTAAAGATTTTGTAAGAGTTTAGGAGCAGGACCAGACCTGATTTAAAATAATAAATAAATAAAAGGTGATGTTGTGCTTCAGAAATAATCTATATCTCACCAAACCACTCTGCTAATAAGAATCTATATGTATTTACTCTTTTTTCCCCCCTTTTTATTGGTCCTTCATGTCGTTTTTATTAAAGTACTAGCTTGTTTGTTATGACTGTTCTTTCCCCCCCCATGTCTTATAATTTACACAATATATTTTATTTAGCACAACGATAAACGTTACATTGGGCAGGAAATTTTATCTTTAATTTGATTAATGGTTGATACCATAAAGCTGATATGACTACTGATTAACATATTTAATTAATTCTTTAACAACATAAATGTCATGAAATATATTTCATGGATGACATTTACATGTGAATGTTAAACCTTGGCAGACATCTAGTAAAAAATTGACACCTTATGGGTACACTGTCTTTCTCCCACAGTCAAGAAACATGCTTGTCTCTAAATTGCTGTTTGATTGTGTGCACTCATTGTTTTATTTAGGTGAAAAGTTTGGGAACCCCTGGAGGGAACAAAACTAAGTATTCTTTAAGATTTCTGCCTACTTAGGTGTAAGTTACCGTAGATGTACCTTAAACCTTTAATTTAATCTGAAGCCTTTGTGTATTAATAAAGCATAACTTAAATAGATACTTACATAAATACCTAAACTGGAATGAGTAAGTACTTGTCTAAATATTAATAATAAAACATTTGTTGGCTTAATATTTGGTTAAGGGTGTGGCTTTTACAGCAACAGTTTTAGTTAATTTGCAGTTATATTTCATAGTTTTTTAATGTTACCCCCTATTTAGGGGATTACCAGCAGACCTTTAGGGGGGCTCCTCGGTCTCCGGGTTCTCACAGATCTGCACCTTTTTAAGTCCAGATTAAAGACTCAATTTTCAAACTGGCTTAGGACACATTGTTTTATGCTTATGATTTTCTTATTTATTTATTTTATTTGCAATGTTTTTATCTTTCTGTGAAGCACTTTGGTCTTCCTGGTGTTGTTGTAAAGTTCTATATGAATAAACTTGGATTGATTGATTGATTTATAACATCTAAGTGTTGGGAGCTGGAGAAATACACCTTTTCTCCAGCAGAGTCCGCCCTGGATCCTCCCTGCTGAGCTGCTCTGCACACCTGCAGCTGATGATCTCATCTGGAGGACCTGGACTACTTAAGCTGCCTTCAGACCTTGCCTCGACGCCGCAGTGTCTTAATCAGTTGGTTTCCTGTTCTTTCTCCTGTGAAGCTCTGGAAGAGCTTAACCTGCCGAGCCAGCCCTCCGAGCCAAACCTGAAGACTCACTCTCTGGATTTCCTAGCAGCTCTGGATACCGAGCTGGAAACACAAGCCAAGGTCAAAACAGCCTTTAGAAGTAAGACGCTGAAACAGCTTAAGGACTCTGCCAACCCAAGCTTTCTCCGGACCCAACAGTTCCGCTCCCAAAGCCTCCTCTACGTTCATCAAGGTACAAACCTGAACATAATCAGTCAAGTCTCAACCAAGCCTTCGCTAACCAAACTGTCTTTCTCACAGACGCCAGTGAACCGGTCCCAGCCCAGAACCATTGCATCAGTCTTTATTATATGTGTGAATTTGCCAATAAACTCTGTTAAACTTTCCATCCGTGTCGTCAGTGTTCTGCATATTGGGCCTCCCTGATACCCATCATGACAGAACACTGCGGCCAAACACAAGGCCCAGCAGATGATCTCCTCCGCCGATTGCAAGAACAAGATGTCCAAATACAAGGACAAACTCAGACCCTCCGTGAGTTGTACCGTCTGGTTGATATGCATAATCATATGCTTCAAAACTACGGTAATTACGTGGGTAATGCTAATCCCGCTCCAGTAACCCAACCATTTCCGGGTCCAGTTCCTCCGCCGAGGTCACCGGCTGTGACGTCATCCGAGTTCCGCCCAAGTCTCCCAGAGAAGTTTTCTGGTAACGTAACTGATTGTAAGGGATTTTTATTTCAATGTCGTCTCATTTTTCAGAACTCTCCTGCCAGTTTTCCCACGGACCACAAGAAAATAACGTTTATCCTTTCCCAGTTAACAGGAAGAGCTCTGGCTTGGGCTCAAGCCAGATTTGCCTCAGATGAAAGCTTAAGCTGTCACTATTCAGATTTCGTTTCTGAATTTTCCCAGGTATTCAACCAAGACACTGACCAGACCCTTGATTCTCGAGCACTGCTTCATTTAAAACAGGGAAATTCTTCTGTGACCGAATTTTCTATAAATTTCCGGGTTAAAGCAGCTGCTTCCGGATGGAACCAGGGTGCATTAAAGAGTGCTTATTTCGAGGCATTAAACAAAAATATTAAGGATGAGTTGGCTACCCGTGATGAACCGGCTACACTCGAAGAACTAATCCAATTAACTATAAAACT